CCCCCCCCCCCCAGTCTATTTACACGATAAATATTTAAATATAGTCAAGAACAGAAACATTCAAATTAGCTGTTAAGTGTTGCATTTTATAAAATACAGTGGCAAACATTTAAAAAAATGCATAAAAACAATTGTGAACAGCACTAGATTTAAAAAGTGACATTTATATCCGGTACAGCAGGTTTTCTAATCTGTGCAAAAGTCTGCAAATCCCATGAAAGTTCTTCGGGCGCGTCGAGTTCGGCTTTAGCAACTTTTGTTCTACATCTGTGCCCGAGAAAGAAAGCTCATCAAAGGAACCCCCCCCCCCCCCCCCCCCCCCGCTCTGCTGGAAACATCTGCATCGTCCCGTTTCTCCAGCATGACGACGTCTCAGGTTGCGTGGCCACAACATGAAGCCAGAGGCTTCAGATGACAGGAAAGTGTTGGATTTCAACGAGCTGAATCGTTCAGTGAGGGTGAAGTGGATGCAGAAATGATATGAAAATCAGTGTGCAGTATTAAAGACGAGCTACGTACAGTACATGTAGCATCCAGCTTGAAGTCTTGCTACATATTGAGAGGCTCTGCATTCATCTTCCCATCAGCAGGTCACTGCATTCTAACTAACACCGAGGTCTTCACAACGAGGTACATAGAAAAATAGGTCAAACCGATGAGTTATGTGCCGAACCTTACAGATCGATACGCGTCATTGAGACCTTTTAGAGTTTAATCGAGTACGGCCTCCATGCAATACATGAGCTCGTGTATTCAGGAAACAAATGATTATTTTTCACATGCAACCTAAATGGTTGAGTACGTCTACATGTGACGGTGTGGAGAAGCAGGGTTTTGTTGCGTTGGATTGACGTAATGTGTCAAGGCTAGAGCAGGCTTATGAAGCTAAGGCTAGTGGAGGCGGAGCCGCGTCCTCGGCCCAAAACATGACTAACTTTTTGTTTTTCTCATGATGCTTTCTAGAGATTGTTTTTGGTTTTATTTACAAAATTGTTCTTTTTAAGAAGAGAATGGAAGACCTAAAGCATGCAACTAAGAACTAATCGTCAGCTGTGACGAAGATCCAGGATGTTGCTTCCTGTTGCTTTACGTGCACGAGTAAGACATCCTGTCAAGTTTGAGGGTTTTGATTTTTGGTCTGGATGGTTAGATGTCAACGAGTTACCAAAAGTATTTCTGCCATGATGTACATCTAAATATACAGACGGATCTCGAGTTTGGAGCTGCGAATAAAAGATGAACTTCAAAGCCGCGGAGTGGAATATAGAAATGGCTCGGAAAAAGTTTCAAGTAGCTTTGTCCCTGTGAAAGAGGGAGGAGTCCTAGAAAATGAGACTTGATAGCTACAGTAGTCTGTAAGCATGCCGAGATCACACCTGATGGCCTGGGGAGTGTTGGCGTGTGTGAGGAACATGCGACCAGAGAGAAAAGAAACCAAAACATGCATAATAGAAATAGCACATCAGGTGCCTCGTGTCGCTGGCAGTGTTCTATTTGAAGTATGTACATGGTAGATGATGACTTAACATATGGTCATAATATAGTGTATAAATACCTCTGTATAAATGGACTTTATACATCTAAATCAGAGTTGGAAGGGCGGGAGCTGGGAGAATATCTGAAAAGGAGTGGAAGAAAGTCTACAGTTTGTTTTCCTTTGCATATACAGTCTCTTTCTTAGACCCTGAGTCAAGCTTGAGAGAAGAGTGTCGGTGGACGTCGAAGGGTTCGGGGGAGGCCTACTTTCCTGGGAGCCACGGGTCAGAAACTGGCCGGTGGAGTTCCAACATTCCTGAGCTGTTGGGGACGTCGGGTAGAGAGGCTTGTCGGCCTGATGTTAACCTCGGTGGCTGTTGGTGGTGGCGCTGCTCTACAGAGTCCACGCCATTTTGTGTGTGTCTTTGCTCTGGGGCGCCCTCGGGCAGTCCAACAATGTTCCCATCTGGAAGAGTCTCTGTGCGGCGGAGGACTGGGGGCGTCTCTTTGGATTTGATCTGGGCCTTCTCTGGGTCGGGGCTCTGAAGAAGACAAGTCATGAGCAATTTGGCAGCGAAATGAAAGACAGATATATCAAAGGAAGTACCGAGTACATATTATTGCAAACTCTTGACATACTCTGTACGTGATATAAACATTTACAGTGGCTTGGTTGGCCCAGGGGTCTCTGGAGCAGAAGACTGCAGCTGGACTTTCAGCAGGGGACCCTTGCATACAGCACTACTGTGTTTCTAATAGGTATGATCTTGAGGAAATTAATTAGTAACAGCAGAGCTTGGCGTTGAAGCAGGGTGAAGTGTGTGGTGTACCTGTGGCCGAGGAGGAGCAGGATCGAGGCGGAGCTCCGTCTGGAGGGCGGGCACCGGCTGGATCCTGATGGCCGGCCTCTGGTACTCTGGGCTGGAGGTGACGGTGCTGTAGGCGGGGGGGCCGGACGTGGTCTGCCTCTGGAGGAGCTGCAGGATGGCCTGGATGTCTGAAGTCATCTGGGACTCCAGTCTGACGGACGGACGGAGAATAAAACATGGAATAAAATCCAGAAATCACCCACAAAGTTGCCCACAACGTTCTTCATAGAGAGCGTCTTAACTTTGCCCTCAAAGTGGAGCAGATGGATGCATTTCTCTTTGATGGAAGTGGTGAAGGAGAACACCGTTCCCTCATTGTTCCCCATAATTGCACCAAAACTTAACCATGACATCCGCCATCCCGACCTCACAGGATGACGTCAACAGTCTTTGCAATGCGTCTGCATCTCGTGGCTGCCTGCTATGAATAGGCAGCCGCTGCCTACCTCCCCCTCATCTGCATCAGCGCACCAGCCCAGAATCACCCAAGCTGCTCACATGGGCGTCTGGCCCTAAATGTCTCTGTGCAAGTATTCAGCCAATTACAGGCAGAATCACGGGGGCTTGGACTGCAAGCTCTGAAAGATGACTTTGTTGAAGTGAAGGCGTCTTTTGTTCAGCTATCTACGTATATGCCAAAAGGAACACATCTCAGAGTCTGAGAAAAACATCTATTCATTTCCATTAATTTGATCCTGATTATTTGATGTTAAAATTCTAAAAGAGATCCTCATGGAGACTTTTAACAAACACTACATACGTCTAGTTCAAAGTTCAAAGCATTCTTCTTCCTTGTTGAAACCTGGCGCCTACATTACCCACATTGCAACTCGTCCACCGATCGTCAGTTCAATATGCTCGTCGTGGCTCATTAGGCCCGGAGCCTCCAGCAGAGACCAGCAGGTGAGGTCTGGTTAGCTGACTTTACATCTGCAGACTCCTTTCATTTTCAAACTACAAAAGACCTCCAACCGAACAGACTCAATGTCAAGTGACATCACTTGACATTCATCAGGCTCCATTCAGCAAAGGCTTTACGGAACCTTTTTTACAGATGCAGTAGTGCTCCCCAACATCTGGAGACACTTTAAAAAGGTGTAACACTGGTGTTTCTCTTTAAAAGGTGTGAATACCAGATTGAAATGCCACATGACTTTCCTCATGTCCTTTGGCTTTATCTCCAATCCCATCATATCATTGTTTCAGAGAAGGGATTATATGAATGAGGCCACGGATCATCAGCTCCTCCATCCACAGTTAGAGGGCGTATCAGGACACACCATCCTTACACATTATGTGTCGCTGGATGCAAAAGAAGCAACGAGCGTTATGTAGTCCGAGGATTCTGTTTATACGACCAACATGCTACTTCTTGCCCACACCTGCTGAGGTGCTGCTGCAGGAGGTCCAGCCGGTTCTCCACCTCTCCGTAGGTGAGGTCTGTGTCGCTGTCGTCCTCCCCGGCTGGCGTCTCTCGACACCGGGCCGCCTCCTCCGCGCCCTCGACGGGACGCTGACGCACCCACTCGTCTGCATGGAGCTCTGGAGGGAGACGCGTGTGCAAACAGACGTGAACACACACACACACACACACACACACACACACACACAAAAAGAATTAGAGATTCAAAGATTAAAGTTGTAATTAACACGGAAAAAGCCGTGGACATCTGTGGAGATTCTCGTGGTAAATATACAAGTGCAAACTCTCAAATGTACGATATTCTCTGAGATTATAGAGTCTGTATGTAGTCACAGATGTCGATAGGAATCAATGTCCCCCTCTGCTCTACTTGGGCAGAAACACTCGTTTGGCTGCAACAGCTGAATTATGGGATATTAATAACATCAAATCATCCGTCTCAGCGTAGAATTACACCGAGTTGGCAGTTAAAATACAGGGAAGTTCTGCAGCAAATATTGTTGCGTTAGTGTGTGTGTGCAGGAGCTTTGTTCACACTGGGTGATTTCATGGCGGTTTAAGCGCCGGTGTGTTTGCTCGACATGTAGCAGCAGGCAGACGGTGAGGATTCCTCACACAGCTTGCCGGGGATGTCCATCCCAGATGCAGCTCTTCTGATGCTCCCGCTGTCTGCACTGCGGGAGGCTTTCATTTTCACAATCAAAACCATTTATCTCTCACATTTCCTAAAAAGATTTAAATGCGACCAAACTGGGCAGATACAGTGGTGTCAACAACATGATTTTACCGAATGTTTCCTGTTAATCCTTTATTTGGTCGTGACCTACCATCAAAAGGGGTGACCCCCCCCCGGGCCGCTGGATATAATCCTCTTACGTTTTATTACCGAGTGGGTTTTAGGTTTCCCCATAATGACACATAATCCCTGTTTGGGATTTTTAAGAGGTGTGACATTCCTCCTCTGGGATTAGGGATTTGGGGCCTTTTTCTAAATTAACTTCTGAGCCAATTACCATTCTGGAGTTAAACTTTAGAGGACAAGCCTGCAGGTTTACAGGAAATGTGATGTCCATTCAAACAAGATGATGATTTGCATAATAAAGATGGAATTCAAACTGTCTCCTCTGTGATATATTGATTGTTTAAAATCATTTCTCTTTTGTTTAGGCAAACATAGAAGAATCCGTTTTGAATAAACTCTTATTTGAATGACAAGTAAAAACATAAATCCCTCGTTACTCAATGAGAACTACTGTCGGATGCTTCTCCATCGTCACCTTGATACGTCTGGTTCTGCACGTTGTCTCCGGCCTGCGCGTCTGGAGCGCCGCTCAGCCCGACGCCCACGGTGTGGTCCCTAACCACCGGGTAGCCCAGCACACCAGCACACAAGGGCCTCTGCTCCTCCTCCTCCTCCCTGCCCTCCTCCTCGTCGTCCTCCTCCTCCCCCTCCTCCTCCCCCTCCTCGGCGGACTCCCTCGTCTCCTCGGCTGCTGAGGGGGCGAAGACGTGCCTCCCTTGCTTGGCGTCGCAGTAGGCGACCGCCGGCTCCTTGTTGTGGGAGCCTGCAGGGAGAAATGGTAATCAGGAAGTCTGCTGGGGGAACAGCGCCTGCTCTGGGGACGTCGGGGCGGCCTCATTATCTTTGACAACAGGTAGCGAGTGTTTTGCTTTGGGGTTGAACTGAGGACAACCGATGTTAAGCGAGCCTCTTTTATAATCTAAACTACTGCGTCATGTCACTCCAAATGTGTGTTTACGAGTCAAGTGATGTTATGAATCAGTAACAGGAACAGTGTGTGGGGTCTCCAATAGAAAATAAAATAAACATGATGATGTGATTTTTATGGCAGTAGCCATGTTGTGTCTCAAGCTGACCTGTGGAGGATTTCCTCCTGTAGGACACCCGTCTTCGACCCTCGATGTCTTCCATGTTGGAATCAGTCGTCTGTAAAAGGACAATGAATGATGAGAAGCATGGAGAGTATATGACCTGTACTAATGCACATGTGTATGGTCATGCAGTAAAGCTATTCGGTGTGTGTGCATGATGAAGTGGACGACTGTGCTCTTCTTAAACTCCTGGCGGTCCTGTTGGAGCACCATGTACCTCCGCAGGCCTGACACATCTTTCCATTACACTCAGTTCATCATAATTACAGCCCACATTGTGTCCAAAATGTCCACCCTGCCCTAATACTCCATCTCTCACTCTGTTCTTCCAACAGCAGAGTAAAGACAAAGGTCTTAATAGCCCTCGTACTTTCATTCCCACAACCACGAAGCACTAAAGGGAATTAATAAGAAAGGCATCCATTTAAATTGGACATGGCAGAGATACGGTACGTCTATCTACAAGGACGGTACGTCAAAGCAGAATCACAAAGAAGGATTTGAGTTGGTCGGATTACCTTTTCATCTCGGAGGTCAAAGGTCAGCTCCAGGTTGGTGAGGAAGTGGTCGGCGAACTCCGGATACATGTCCAGCACCTCCAGGATCTCCTCCCTCTGGATGGTGTGGAGGTCACAGTAGCTCAGCGCCCGCACGTCCGCGCAGGATTTCCCCGGCTTGGTGAACAGGTGGATCATCTCGCCGAAGATGTCGTTCTTCCCTGGAGCAATCGAATGGAAGTAACAGAGTCCCCTGTTAGCTAATCAAGGATGTCAGCTTGTCTCGTTATCTATTGTTGGCTTCCTCTAAAGGAACAACACCCTCTGTTGCTGGGAGAACATGCATGTAGAATAGCACGTGAAGACCTATAAAGAGACAGGCCACCGAGCAGAGGAGTGCGAGAATGTTAAAGATGCTAAAGGGTATCGGTCATCTAAAATAAGCTAAAGTCATGGGAGAGTATGCTAAGAAACATAAATAAGTCAAGGTATAGTACGTCATAAAAGATGTCATGGACGTAAACATGCCTTTTGAAGATCATCGTCTAGAACGGAATAAAAGAGTCACAGGATAGGATGTCACAAAGTCTCATAAATAAGTCAGTATAGTACGTCATAAAAAGGTTATTGAAATACAAATTATATTCAATTAAACTATTGCATTATGAAAATGTGGAGGCTGTTGATGCCATGTGGCTCAGTGGCTCCTGTCATTAAGAAGTGCATCACACCACACTGACGACCACGTGGACCTCCAACAAACGTCTTCCTCCTGGTTCCTCTATCTGCCCCCTTTCTCCTCTTCTTCCTCTGCCATCGCCTGTCTCGTCTTTCTCCCCCGCCCACTCGTCCAGCTCTCCATCCCTCTCTGCTTCTATTGCCATCCGTCTGTTTGACAGCAATCCTGCTCTCTTTTCTCTCTCTCATCAGCACAGGTCCTCCGTTATCCTCGTCCCACCACGTGTCCTCCCCCGCTCTTTCCTGTCCCCCCCGTCATCAGAGGCGCGGCAGCGAGGCGGCAGCAATCGCAGTGTGCTTTGAAGTGAGTTATTGCAACATACCCAATAGGGATCACAGCTGCCAACCCAGGCAGATCACAGCCCGACGGAGCATCTTCATTTAGTTGGCCCACCCGCGTCTGCACCAATGGGGGGAAACTCGGGCACGATAACTGCTCTTCTGTGGTTGGAGTGTTTTTGAGCTCCGTACTGGCTCTAGCTTAATATCTAGCTTACAGACATGAGAGCAGGCATCTATCATCTTATCTAACTCTTAGCAAGAATGCAAATAAGTGTCAAAGTCAAACTATTCAGTGAACTCACCGAGGATGGCCACTACGACGTCGTCTTTGAGGATTTCGATGGAGCCGCGGGAGACAAAGTAGAGCGCGGTGAGCACGTCTCCGCCGTGGACCAGGGTGTCTCCAGGGGGCGCGTGGGTGGTCTTGAACCTCATGGCCAGGGCCCGGAGGCAGCCCTTGGTGGCTCCTTGAAACACCTTGCAGCCCTCGAGGAGGGTTTGATTGAGGTGGAGGCAGATATCCGCCTGCAGGCACTCTGGGAAACCCTTCAGGACCTGCGTGTGAACACGGGTCAAAGCGGACACGATTACGGTCAGATCTTTAAAAGCTGTCGGAGCTTTGGCGGGCAGGGATTCCTAATGTGTGCTGAATTTTGGTTTGGGGTTAATTTTTTCCCCCCAGAGAAATTTGATACAATTGCCACTTGTGTTCTTTCCTTCTGTTCAAAACCCATCGTACCCTGCGATGTCTTTCAACACAGAGCTACAGGAGACTGTTTCACTGAGCAGCTCAGCAGCTTTAGCAGCAGATGAGAGACAAGACAGAACATTTAGAAAGTGAGAAGCTGCAGATAAATGACAGCACAAAGTGAAAGCACAGGGTCAAGAGTCGAGAGTTTCACTGCCTTTATGTCCTGAGATGATGAATCTACTGTAGAACTATAACCTGGTATATGCAAGAAGCAACAACATCCAATCTCGTCTCAAGAGTCTATTGAAACAATAAGCATTAGATGTTGAAACTTGATCATGATTGGTCAAGCATCCGTACCCATCCGAGTTAGCCTGGCAGACTGGTGAGAATGCACAGAAAAATAGTTTGAAAAGTCATTTTAACATTCAATTTTCTATAAATTTTACATTGTTTTTTTAAGAGGACCTTCTGATGCATAACAGACTTATAGTACACTTACCCTTTAAAGACAAAGATAGTGACAAAACAGCTAATGATCCCCGGACAACGTGGACTGACTGTAAAGGACCACAATTTCAACACCAGAACAGACAGAGGTGAGGAGAGACATAAAGGACAGTTGAAACAACAAAACACATTTCTTATCCTCGTCATTTACACATAAGATACAATGTGCTAATGACACGAGCACGGCAAGAAGAAATGTAGCCCGAGCTGGTTTTCTGGCTCTGATTTGTTGTTGCTCGGAACAAGAACTGGTCAGTAGATTTGGAAGGGAAAGACTGAACAACATTTGGCAAGCGCAGGTGCCACCGCGGAGCGTGCAGCCAAGCCTCCCTCAGCGGGAGGGAAACCTGGCAGCACCCGGCGAGGCTGTGCCCACTCTCACAGGCGTGATTCACTCTGTCTCTGGGAACAGATGAATATCATAGGGGTTGCGTTTGAATTCACAGATTTCAAAAGGAACCTCGAGGCCGGCCCCGTGCAAGTCCACGATTAAAGGGAGAGTTTGGACGTTTTGAAGTGGGGTCGTGCGAGGTTCTTATCCATCGTCAAGTGTGTGACCCCACTTCAAAACATCAGAACTATCCCTTCAATGTGGAGTGCCAGAAACTGTTAGTGTTATGCGTGACCCCTGCAGTAACTGGCATGCACAGGAACATACTGTAAATCCATCTATGATGTGGCATCACAGCAACCGTTTACAGTATGTGTTCATGTATGTACAGGTAACGACACTGAGGGAACAATAACATGCATGTTTGGGGAAATAACATAATAAAACTGTAATGCTATCTGTTATAAGTTAAACAACTGAAATCACTCCACTACTAGAATCAAACACAGCTAGCTCTACCGCCGAGGATCATTCACATCTACATTAGTGGTGTTATCACATGTACCTCCTGCTCTTACCAGAGTGATGGGGTCATTCCATTTGACATGAGGCAGACATGGAAAAGACAAACTTATATAAGTACCATGAACAGTAAGTATCATGATGAGAAAAGCCAGAGTTACCTGATGCATGAGCAATAACCGTGGCTTTCATTTCACTTGCACAGTGACGACGATGACGCCGACATTATACTTTGCCAGTGACATAGCGAGAATTCTTCACGATGTGGTTACAGCATTTTTCGACAGGATAGTTGAAAGTCACAAATGATTTTGGAAAGAGAAGAAGCAGCACAGAAGAAAGCAACAGCAATCGTAACTATATATTTCTTTAACAAAAAAGGACAAGCCACACCCACTCTGCTCGTACCATATTCATGTCAATGCCGTTGGTGTACGTCCAGGCGTGTTGGAAGTACTCCTCCAGCCTCTGCCTCAGCGGGTTTGGGATCTGGTGGAAGCGGATGAACTCTTTGACCCGGAGCATCTGGAGGTGATACCTGGCTGTACCTGAATACAACCTCTGGATGATGGCGGACACGTTCCCAAAGATGCTGGCGTACATTAGAGCTGGGAGACAAGTCAGACGGGTGAGCGGTGAGCCACGGTGGCTGCTTATACACAGTATCCAAACAAAACCCCCTGTTGCTGCTACCACACCACTTCCCGTGTGTCAGCATTTTCTCAAGGAAACACCTACCTGATGTAAGTGCATTAGATCACGACTGTTTTTAATCAGGGGGTGATAATGTACATTTCAAATACAGTGGATCATTCCTTTAAGATGTGACAAATCAGCGTGTTTATCAGTAAAAGGTAGTGTAATAGCTAAATGAAATAACAGGATTAAAACACTACATGTACTGTGAGTCAGCTGCCACTCACATCCAATGAGCATGACGCAGATGGAGAAGATCTTCTCAGAGTTGGTGTTGGGGGACACGTTCCCAAAGCCCACGCTGGTCAGACTGCTGAAGGTGAAGTAGAGTGCCGTGACGTACTTGTCTTTGATGGAGGGCCCTGAGCTGGGGTCGCTGTAGTTGTACTTCTTTCCTACAATGAATACAAAGTAAGTACATACAAAACTAGCAGAGGTGACCCTTCATTTTACTTTTTTATAACTGTTGTAAAATAGAAGACAAAGATGATCACCTATCGACACCCCCAGGTTGTCCAGCCAGCCAATCTTATGCTCCAGGTAAGGCTTCTCCACGTTGCCGATGGCGTACCAGATGCAGGCCAACCAATGGGCAATAAGAGCAAAGATGCACATGAGCAGCATGAGGACGGCAGCGCCGTACTCTGAATACCGGTCCAGCTTACGGGCAACTCGTACCAGCCGTAGCAGACGGGCAGTCTTTAGCAGACCGATCAGAGTGGTGGTCTAGGGCAAAAAAAACAAGCAGAGAGATAAACAGGATTAGTCAAGGAGGTCACCGGCAGGTGTGAAAAGTGAAGAGAATGTAGAAGTGTCTTAAAGTTGCATTCTCTTTAATGGCCAGCAGGGGGCCACAACTCTTGTTGTACAGAAGTCATACCAGTTATACCCAGTCAAATGACTGGGTATAACTGCCAACAATATAATTCAGACCAGGATTTTCTAATGTGGGGGACAGCGGCATCTCAAATACAGGCGCCGACGTTTCCCAGCAATCAAAATGAACAAGTTGTTTGTCTTCTGTCGGCGTCGAGGTCAGGGTCGGGGTCGGTTCGGCTTAGAGATTCAAACGCATGTGTCGTTGAGGAATCTTATTTCACACACGATGAACTAGAACGCACAGAGGGGACAGTGGACCTGCTGGTGCAGACAGATCCTTCAAGGTCTCAGCGTCCCTCGCTGTCAACACAACCTCACCGACTAAGACGTGGCTGCCTATGGCTTCGCTGGGAATCTTGACGGCCAGTATGGACGTGGCGTTAGCGGAGCAGACTGGCATGCAGAGAGTTTGGTGATTCATTCGTTTGGCCGACGCTGAAGCGCGTCTGAATTACTGCACATGAAAGTGGCAAAACTTGCTCCAACACGAGTCTCAATCTATCATTGTCGTGCAATCTTTAAACACAATGAGTGAGAATGCTTACAGGTCCTATCGCGCCTGACAATGATCCTAATATCCCTGGGGAAATCATTACCGGCAGCCTCCTGCAGTAGTCGTCTGTACAACCTTATTTTTTTTAAATTTACACACACACACACACACACACACACACACACACACACACACACACA